GTGAATTTTTTTGAAAATACATGTTCAAACAAGCTAAACTAGTAGCATGCATGGCATGAGATGGGATATTTATCATTGCACATGATCTTCATCAATCCATTATTGGAACTATCTACTTTTATGATGATTTTTTTTATTTTTTATTTTGGCTACAGAATAATTCTTGTGAAGTCATGATTGCCATATCTCTAACTCTATATATATTATATATCATCCATATCTGTATTGGTTAATTATATTTTAATTTGTAATATATAAAAAGTGTTTTAATTTAATTCTCTAGCCAAATTCATTCAGTAAATGTAGAAACTCAATTAAAAAAAAAAATTAGATTTTTAATCCTAAAAATACGTGATATGTGTTATTTTCATCTAAAAATTACACATTTACCCTTGACATTAAATTTGATTGGAAGATTAAATTAAAATATTTTTTATACATTAAGAGCTAAATTAAAATAATTTAAATATTAAAAATTAAAATGATACAAATTTATATTTTGAGAAAAATATATAAATATAATACAGGGAAGCATATTGATGAGGGAGAAGAATAACTAATGCGGGCCACACTTGATTCACGGGGTCTTCTATTGCTAGATTCTTTCTCTTGCTTTTACTTACCACTCACAAGCTCGCTCTCTCTACTACACATATAGCATCATTACAATTTTTTCATCTTTTATTGTCCTGGGATACAATTCAGGCCTGTTGATCAAAAAATTTTACAAATGTATGGAATACAATATTTTTTTTTTTTTTTAAATACTGTAAAAGTTGCACCATACAAAAATTTTCACCTTGTGATTAATATTTGCCCTATTTCTCACTGATTGTTTTGATATCTCAAATCATTATACTGTATGATCATTTTTCTCAAAATTTGTCTTAAAATTTTTGTACGATTAGAAATGTATTGAAAGAGTGGGACAAAAAAATTTAAGAATAAAAGAGCCTTATCCTAGGTTGAGATTTTCACTATCCCACCTATTTTAATGGTGAAAAATATTGATTCACCTTTGCTAGGTACTGAAAAAGACAAAAGATAACTTAGTCGAGGACATATCGTGTAGACAATATCACACAGTAAATAAAACAACAACATTACAAAGACAAACATTAAAAATATGCAACATTGTACAGTGGGAAAAAAATGAAAGGTAAATGAAAAAATAATAATTGTTACAAGGCCGAGTAATGCTATAGAAACATAAAATTATATATTAGCTGTTTTTTTGTAAACGATTATGAGATTGAATAAAATTCATTTCAAAATAAAAAATAAAATATAAAAATAGTTACTAATTTCAAAATTTTCATCATCATCTCGTTCTGAATGTATTATCTGTATAATTTGTCATTGTAAGAGTATACTTTTCCAAGAAGATTCCACTCATAACCACAATTTTCAAAGTAGAGGGTTTTGCAATATGTCACTGGAATTCTTCACCTCCTTCATGGTTTTCCATAAATACAATCAGCCTTCTTATTTTATTATTATTTTTAAAATATGATGAGCGATATATATATATATATATATATGAAAAATGATTGGGAGCACTAATTAGTGCTCCCACTAATTAGGTGGCAGTGGGTCCCGTCATGAATGATGTGATGTTTTGGTCTTGGAGTTGTAATTTTTTTTTATTTTTTTTATTTTTTTAATACATTAATGCTATTAGTGGTGATGTTTTTAGTGGGATGAATCATTGTTGATATATATATATGAAAATTGTTGTGCGAATACACAAAAGATAAAATGAAATAAAATTGTGAAATGTATCCCATAGCAAATATGATTTGTTGCCATCAAGTGAAGACGAAAAACTAAACATGTTTGGGCCAGTCTGTCAGTGATCTTATTAGGCTAAAGCCCACAAATATTGGGCTTCAAGTATTGGTTCGCACGCACTGGAATCCTGAAGGGGCACTTACCAATAAGTCTCATACATAAAATTCAAAATCCATTTAATTCCAAAATAAAATACTTGCTCCAATTAGTCTTACATATTTTTAATTGTTACCAAAAACTCTCCTTTTTTTTAATTTTTTTTTATAACTTTAAAAATGCTGTTACACTCAATGACTTCCGTCATATTCACTGAAGACTGGCCGAAATATTCAACATCATCGGGAGTTCGCTAGAATGTTCTAAACGTCACTGGAAAATGTCAAGAACGTCATCGGAGACTCACCAGAATATTAAGAATATTGCCACAAAAAAAAAAGAAAAGAATAAATGGAGAAATTATAGTTAAAAAACATAATAACAACAAACAACAATGTGAAAAAGTTATATTATTTTTCAATTTTTGTAGGGTTTAAGCAAACAATCTGTAATGTTGATCAAAGTTCAAACTGAAAAGTAAGCTTTGAAACTGTAAAATGTTACAGTTTCAAAGCAATATTCTATTAAGCTGGAAAACATGTTATGAAACTGTAAAATTTTACAGTTCTAACGAATGTTATGAGACTGAAATTTTTACAGTTTTAACGCATGATTCATTTTAGCACCAATTGAAACTATAAAATTTTACAGTTTTCACTACCTGCAACTAAAACTTAAAAACAACTTACTCAGAATTTGAAATTTTTCTCCATTAAAACAGAAAAATAGACGTGTGTAACAGAGAAAATGTAGAAAAATTGAGAAATCGAAGGAAATAATGGATATAGAAAGAATATTATACTCTGGCAACGAGTTTTGGCTTAGATCTAGTCGAATATCATATAGATTTACTCAAATCTGATATATCTTCTTCGCCGTCGATGAGGATAAAGTAACGAGTTGATGTAAGTGGTTGATGGTTGCTGATAAATTCCAATCAATGGTGGTCATCGATCACTGATGACTATATACTAGAGCAAGAAAGAGAATAAGAAATGTGTGGTCACCGGTTGTCGAACAAGACAAAGAGAATTAGAGGAAAACGCAAGAAAAATGGAGAGAAAAACATAAAGAATGAGAGAAAACAGAGAGAGAGGGGAAATGTGTAAGACTTTTGGATCTACTTAAAAATTATTGGAATAAACAGTGTACACATATTTCAAACAGGGCCTACGGGTAATTTTTCCAATCCTGAACACCCCATCCACCATGAATCCATGTGATATTATGATTTACAGTCGTTGAAATCAATATCCTATTTATTGGAAGATCAAAATAAATAAATAAAATAAATTAAGGAGTTGCATTTGCATTTGAATTCTTTGTTTGGGAACAACTTAAAAAAAAAAAAAAACCAACAACTAGTGTTTTACTTTAAAAAATATTTAAAGCTAAGTTGTTTGTTATTAGTTAAAATAGTCAACTGTCACATTAATTTTTTACATACAAAAAAAGTAAATATTTTAGCAATTTTTTAAAAGAATTTTTTTTAAGGTCCGTGATATTAAGATTTTATAAGATAAAGAATATGTAATATTTTCATAGTAGTTAAGGTCCCTTAATATTTTCACTGAGAAAATTTAACTCAGAAATTTCGCTCTGACTTAGGAAAATTTCAATTTTTACAGAATTTTTTTTAAAATTTCTCTTCAAAATTTTCTCTGTAAAAGTTGAAATTTCTCTGAGTCGGGGCAAAAATTCTCTGAGCTGAATTTTTTTTGTGAAAATATTGAGAAACCTTAGCTAATAAAAAAATATATCTTAAATTTCTCTTACTACACAAAATTAGAGAGAAATGTTTCATTAACTTTTTCCTTTTTAAACACATTAATTTTTTAACTTTTATAGGAGGAAAAAAAAAATCATAAAAAAACATCCACACGCCTCACTTCTCATGGACCAATGGATTTGGCTGTGTTAGGCTGATATTGTAATGAAAGTTCGAAGTGTAAGTTGGACCACTGTACTGTAGAACACAGTCAAAGAAGCCAACCCAACCCAACCCAACCCAACTTTTAAGTGTGAGTTGGACCAATGGTATTGGGCAAGCTTACGTAATGTCCCAACTTATTAGTAAAGAAGTGTATTATTTTACAAAAAAAAATGTTTTGGAGTTCTAACTCTAAAAGTAGCTCTAATGAGTTGGCAGTGGGCTCATGTTTTGGTCTTAATTTGTTATTATTTTATTTTTTTTATTCATTACCATGTCATTAATGTTTCATTAGAATATCAAAATTAATGATCTAAATCATTGCTATTACTTTACGACCACCAAATAACTTCTCCAAATTAAAGACTCTACAAACATTGTGCTGGAAGAGGAGGATGGTCCATTGGAATGCCAATTTGTCCACATGTTATCTCTCTATCCGTATTTTTTGAGTTGTCAAGGGAATTTGCTTGTCCCATGGTTTTTCTAACTCCATCTCAATTATATATTTTATTTTTCATTTTTCCATCTCCTATTTTTAATTTTTAAATTTTAATTTTTTAAACTCCCATTCCTCATCAATTTCTATGCCTCATATCTTGTGGACATTTGGGAAGTTACTATTTTAATAGGTTATTTTAATTTTTGACTATTTTAGTATATTAAAATTTTTGTATTTGAAAAGATGATTAGATTTTTTTGTAATTAGATGTAATATTTGTGAGAGAAAAAAGTGAAATGATTATGAATTTAATATGATATTTTATCTTATTGACTATTTTAACTTATTTTGTCTTTTAGTACTATTTTAGCCAAAAAAAAACTAAAAAAGTTTCTTCCAAACACTTATATCATCTGTATCATGTATCAAGGCAGTGCCAGAATTCCTCCAGGGGCCAAATTGCCAGAGCAAGACATGGCGCATACCCCACTGGGTCATCGATGGATCAGGGAAAATTCTATTTCCACACATCAAGTTTCCTTACTCCACACACTTAATGAATTTTTTCAAAATCATAATTTTATCCTTTAACAAAATTACCATCTTATTCACACATCTCACAATTTCTCCATACACATCTCACCCACCACTATCTAACCAGCCACTTAGGCACAAGCATATTTGGTCGGACTACATGGTTTTTGTGTCAATGGAAATGAAAGGCTCTTGGTTTTCGAGTACATGGCTCAAGGGACATTGGCACAACATCTGTTTGGTTATAGAGAAATGGGGGTTTCTCCACTGACTTGGAAACAAAGAGTCACAATAATGTTAGATGTTGCCAGAGGGGCTAAATATTTGCACAGCTTAGCACAGCAGAGTTTCGTCCATAGAGATCTGAAACCCTCTAACGTACTTCTTGGAGATGATATGAGAGCTAAGGTGTCTGATTTTGGTTTGGTTAAGAATGCCCCTGATGGGAAGCATTCGATGCAGACAAGGTTGGCCAGAACGTTTGGATATTTAGCACTTGAGTATGCTGGTAAGCACAACTTCATTCATATGAATTAATTAGATATTTATCAATATGTGAACAAGCCAATTCAAATTTTTCTTAAGCATTGAATAGAACATATTTTATCTTTTAATGTATGGTTTAGAAAGAATATGGTTAAGTTTATATTTTTATTTATAAAAAAAAAAAGAAAAAAGAAAAAAGAAGAAACAATATTTCATAGACTTTCTTAGGATTTTCATTTTACAGTCACACATTAAAAACCAGATTCATGGATCAAGTAATTCCAAAATTGCCAAGTTTACATCTTAATTTCAATGTTGATCCATCATCTTTTGCTTCCTGACAGCCACCGGAAAAGTGACCACAAAGGTGGATGTTTTTGCATTTGGAGTGATCTTGTTGGAGATAATCACGGGAAGGAGAGGATGTGTATGGAGAATGTAAGGATATATTTAGACTGTGAAGTGTGTGGATTGAGACAAAGAAATAAAAATTAAATTATTAAATGTGTAGATTGAGAAAAGATATATACAGAGATAATTTGATATGTGGAAATAGAATTTTCCATGGATCAGGTCAAAATTTATTTAATTAAAATATTATTAATTATTACTTAGGGTTGTTTGGAAAAAAATTATACGGAACAAATCATTGACCCAATCCTTCTTCTTTTTTTTTTTTTTTTTGACTAACCGTTTAGCTTCACATTTTAGAACTTTATCCATAAACACTTTACGTGACATTGTTCTACATTAGTTATTCATTGTCATTCTTATATTATTAGATACTAATAAACCAATTCAAATATTCGTACTAATATGTGGGTTAGTTTATTGTATAGGGAAACAACAATTCAGAGGCAAAGGTAAAAAAATAATTTTAAATACATAGGAAATTTTATAAAATTATTTTTTAATGTAGTAAAATTTATCATTAATATGTAAATATATTTTTTAAATTACATTGAAATGAAATTCTCCCTATTATATATTTGAGGCAAACAAGTTTCCAAGGATGTTACGTTCATGTGTTCTTCACAGTCTTTTGCATTAATGAAAATGACAAGAAAAAATGACAGATTGACAACTATGAATTACCATGACAAGAAAATATCTTATTACACTGGAAAATTATAAATGTCAGACAACACATCACCAAATTCATCACCGACCACCTCTCCAATGTCCATCATCTCTGTCTCATTAAAACAATTTTAAAAAAAAAAACTAACCGACAAATTGGCCACCAATTGCCACTTGAATTTTGTTAGAATGGTTGAAAGAAAAAGAAAACTGTGCGTGTATTTGATTTGTTTTTAAGAGAGTGATTTTTATAAAAAAAAAAAAAGTGAGGAGAGAATTTAGAAATGTTTTTAGTTTGTTTGGTTGTATATTTTGAAAGTAGTTTTAGAGTTTGAGAGTTGAGAATGATTTGATATTTTGTTGTAGTTGAGTAGGTATGTGTAAGAGAAAAAGTGATTGAAAAAGAGAGAGGAGAGAGAAAAAATGATTGATTGATGTGCAAGAAAGAGAAAGTGATTTTAAATTTTTATTGAGAAAAACTACAAACCAAACAAAATTTTAGAAAAAAATTTCAAAAACAACTCTCCCAAAATCAAACCAAACAATATATTGAATTGATTGAATACAATAGGAGAACTTGTATTTATAGGCTGAACACAAACCTAGATAAGTATAGAAAAAGATAGAGATAGAGATACAAGGAGATAAAGATAGAGAGAAATAGAGATAAGCTATATCTATAATACAAGAAGATAAGTATAAAGCTAATATATACATTAACAACCCCCCTCAAACTCAAGGTGGGTAAGCATCAACCAACTTGAGTTTGGAAATTAGATTACTGAAATGATCAGGAGGGTGAGCCTTGGTGAAAATATCAGCTGGTTGATCAGTAGAAAAAATAGGGAGAAGATGAACAGGGCCATGTATAACATGCTGTCAAATGAACTGACAATCAATCTTAATATGTTTGGTGCGATCATGGAAGACATCATTGTGAGCAATTTGAATGGCACGCTGATTGTCACGATAGAGAGAGGTGGCACTAAGGGAAGGAACATCCATATCAGCAAGGAGTCAGCGAAACCACAAAAGTTCCTAAGCAGTGTCAGTAAGAGCGCAGTATTCAACTTCAGTACTAGAGCGAGTAGTGAGGGGCTGTTTCTTGTTGCGCCAAGTAAGAAGAGAATCTCCTAAGAAGAAACAGAAACCCGTGGTGGAGCGTCGATCAGTAGGATTCCCAGCCCAATCAGCATCAGAAAATGCACGAAGCTCGATAGAAAAGTGAGCAGAATAGTGGAGTCCATGGAACATAGTGCCTTTGAGGTAGCAAAGTATGCGAAGTAGAGCAGTGTAATGTGGGGTGTGGGGAGCCGACATGTACTGACTAACAAGATAGTTAGCATAGGCAATGTCAGGACGAGTCAC